TGAGTTGCCATCCCTAGTTATCTATACATCATAATAAAGCTCTACTTCTGGACATAAATTAACGTTGAATAAATCTGTTGAATTTGATTAGAATTTAATGGCCGAAGTGACATCTAGTTTAACATAATGTTCATAAGGACAATGACACCGGACATTCTTTATAGGTTTTTCTAAGAAACTCGATCAAATTCAGTGGTAAATCAACATCATTCATACCTCTCTTACACTGTTAAAATGAAAAATAGTGAACGGAATCTGATAAACTAGTTCAAGAGACTCTGGATAACCTCATGGAAGGCCGTACCACAATTGTCGTAGCTTACAGGTTATCGGCGATTCGTAAATCGGACAGCATCACGGTGCTGGAACAAGGAAAGGTAGTTGAAATAGGCAGCCATGAACAGCTAACGAGGAAAGCTGACAGTGTCTATAAACAATTGGTCAGTTTGCAGCAGTGAAGGATATAATAAACCAAGTTTTAGAATTGAAATTTTATACATGAATCTGTTGTGTTCCAAGAGAAACTACATTCAAATTATATTCCTATGGTTATTCAGTGTATTCAAATTTTGCACAGAAAAGCGGACTGCTTGATTTGAAATGAAAAAGAAAGTCTTATTCGAATTCAAACCAAGAAATCCAACTTTTGATAATAAAAAAAGAAGAAAACTTTATTCAAATTTAAATAAATTAGGAATGAATTTATGTGGTAAATGATGATAAGGAGTTGTTATGGAGGGTTAGCTGGCAAGAGTTTGTTATAGGCATTTGTAATTCGCGCCCCCTTTCCCTCTCATCTTCCCAATTTTTCGCCATTCTTTTTTCCCTCCCTCACTCCATTTTCTCTTTGTTCACTCACTGCGCACTTTCCAATTAATCTTTCCCCATTAGGATTTGCTTCGCGAAGACAAAGCGATGAAGCCTGTGAATCTCATTCTCTCTTTAACAACTAATTGAGCGTGAAGCAAATCTAAGAAAGAAAATCACCAGATTGTAGGGAGAAACACACGAGTTTCAAGATTTGGAGAAGAATAAAGCTGTAGGCGATTAGAAATATTGTGAAAGGGGAAAAAAATGAGCGCCTCGAAATTCATCAAGTGCGTCACCGTCGGCGATGGTGCTGTTGGCAAGACCTGCTTGCTGATTTCCTACACCAGCAACACTTTCCCTACGGTGAACCTTTTTCGCTCTCTTTTCTTTTATTTTTTTCAGAATGTTCGGATCTTTCTTGCATGATCGTAGGACATTATTGGTATTTTCTTGATTTCCGTATAAATCAGAGAAGAATGGTTGAAATTGATGTTAATATTTCATCAATTTTGAAATTGCTCCATTGTTTTTCATTCCATGTAGGAATGTCATGTCCAATGAGATATTCTCTGAGATAACTGAACCAAGAACGGGGATTTAGGCTCTGTTAGTGGTTAGGTTGTCTTAGACACTGGTTTTCTTTTGTACTAACCTTTTGCGTTTGAAATTCTTATGGTACCAGGACTATGTCCCGACTGTTTTCGACAATTTCAGTGCAAATATCGTCGTCGATGGCAGCATTGTCAACATAGGCTTATGGGATACTGCTGGTAATTCTGAAATACCTTATAGAATCTCTACTTTTTGTCTGTAAGTTCAGTTTCTTTCTTGCTTATGGTTTGAAATCATTCCCTTGGAACAGGTCAGGAGGATTACAATAGACTGAGACCATTAAGCTATCGTGGTGCTGATGTCTTTATTCTTGCATTTTCTCTCATCAGCAAGGCTAGTTACGAAAATGTTGCAAAGAAGGTTTAATCTTTCAATATCTTCCCTTTGTGATAATAATTTTATGCAGCATAAGATGTCTATAACTCATTATCCATGCTGTGATCACCTGTTTTCTTGCTTTGGGTTTCAGTGGATTCCTGAATTAAAGCATTATGCTCCTGGCGTTCCAATCATCCTCGTTGGAACTAAGCTCGGTATGATGTTTTTTGCTCCTTCCATGGTGGTATAGATATGTGCTTTATATGTTTGTATTTTTAGATTACAGTCGGTTTGATTCACTAATGGAGGAAAGATTTTCTTAAATTCTTGCCATTTCATTACATGTTATGGTGTTTATGACTCCTTGCTGCTGCAGATCTCCGGGAGGATGAGCAATTCCTTATGGACCATCCTAATGCAATACCCATTACTACAGCTCAGGTAAATGTTTAACATATTATGTTTTGTTCTGTTCAATGATAATATGTTTCTTGTATTTTCAACATTAGTCTTTGATTTGCTTGTTTGCGAAGGGAGAGGAGTTAAAGAAACAGATAGGGTCCTCTTTCTACATCGAGTGTAGTTCAAAAACCCAGCAGGTAAATTTATCAACATATTATTCGTGTTAACTTAGCAAAAATATATCATTGAGGGCGCTTTTGTCTTGTGTGCTGGCTTTACTTCAGAATGTGAAGGCAGTGTTTGATGCGGCTATCAAGGTTGTGCTTCAGCCTCCAAAAATCAAGCAAAAGTCGAATGGTGGTGGTGTTTGCTCGGTATTGTGATTAGTGGAAGATTGGAGCCCCATAATGACGGGATCGACCTGCCAGCTTCTCGCTGCTCTTAATCCCTTTCCGTGGCAACTTTTTAAAATTCTAGTAAGCAACAAACCGTCATGTATAGTCTCTGCTGACATTCTGTGAACGCTTTCAATTGGTTTGTTTCTTGTTTTACTTATTTTCAATCTCTAAATTGACGACAAGCATTCCTTCCTTGTTAACATGCACGACGTTTCAATTTATGCACTTTGATTGAATTATACGTATTGTTGATGTCATTGATCATTCATGGAACTTAACAAACTCTATAACCAGTAGCCTCCTACTCAGGGCCGTATCTGGGCCTGGGAAGGAGGGGCACCTGCCCTGGGCCCAGAGTTTCTATAATATATTATATTTATAAAAAATGGGTTTATTTAAATTATGGGGCCCAGTTATTTTTAATATTTGTTATTGAGTGCGTAATTTTATTTTAATATTTATTATTATAGGTTCATATTTTTTTAATATTTATTATTAGGGTCTTATTTTTATAGTTTATTTTTTCCTAATATTTGTATTAGTATCTAATTATTTACCAATATTTTTTTTAATATTTATTATTAAGGGTCCAATTTTTTTTTATTAAGGGCCCAATTTCTTCAATAATTTTTTATTAGGGGCATACTTTTAAAATTTATTTTATTTTCTAAAATTTATTTGTTATTATTACGAGTCTAATTTTTTAGTACTTTTTATTAGAAGTCCATTTTCAATATTTTTTATTATGATCATACTCTTAAAATTTATTTTTAAAATATTTTTTATTAGAGACCAAAATTTTCAATGCTTGTTATATGGAGTTACCCTTAAAATTTCTTTCTTTCTTTAACATTTGTTATTAGGAACTACTTAAAAATTGATCTCCAACCACAACAACAATCATTATGTAGTAGTAACGATATCAACCGAAATTACGATATCCATAATTTTTATGTCCATAATATCATATATTATTAAAAATTCACAACTACGATATTTACAATGGCCGTAATATCATCTGTTATATCTATAATAGTAATAAACGCAACGCGACCGAATACAAATTTAAATTGTAATTTAAATTTTTAATTAAAGGTCTAATTTTTTTATTAACCCTAGGACCACCAAAATCTCAGAAACGAGTCTGCTCCCACTCCTTCGTATCACCCATACCATCAGGTGCCCCATAAGCTAAGTGTGTTCTCAATTCCTTTATTAAGGATAATTTTAAAAGTGGTCCTTGCGTTTTCCACGTTTCATCAACTTGGCACCCTAAAAGAAAGAAGCGAAGTAGATAAGTGGAATTTTCTACGCAGCTGCATGCATGAATCATGATGCAACAACTGCAACTCAAAGTCTTCCTCCCATGTACATCGAGCCTGCTTTCGTTTTAATATCAAATTCGGGTTCAGTTACTTTAAACTTCAATCATTGTTATGTAGTATATACCCTACTGGAAATCAAGTATTAACCACCAAAAGCGATGATAGTTCCTCCCATCTTTGATATGTTAGGAATTAATAGAGCGGGAAAAATAAGAAAATGATATCAATATAAAATAAGATACGCACAAAAGGTCAAATTTTATGTGATTCGATCTTGTCAAATTTAACATGAATGAGAATAATAAAATACACACAAATAGTACAATTACATTATATCTCATGTATCCTAAAATTTGATATTTATAACAAAACTCATAGTATCTCAAATCACTCTCCCAATATCCTATAAAACTATGTCTGCAACAAACTCCAAAATTATAAGACTACAAAATGATTACATATCTCCGAAATTATTATCTTTATAATTTTAAAGATTAAGATATACTCTTTATTTATAAATCAAATACTTAGTCATAAAGAAATTTAATTCCGTAAAATTTATTGTCTAAAATAAGTATTTCATTATTAAATAAACTTAATTATCAACTCAACTTCTATTATTAGACTTATAATGAAAATCTAAATTATTAATTAGAGTTCGGGTAAATATATAATGAATTTTTTTTATGAAATCCTTGGCTTGTACTAAAGGGCAAAACCCACATCTTCTTCAAGGAGAAACTTATAATAAAATAATGAATGCAATTTGAGAGCACTTCAACTTCAACACCAACATAACGTGGCTCTATCACGCCCTCCATGAGTATGACCTATTTGCCTACTACGTTTTCCTTGTGATGTATTGAAAAATGGCCAACTGCCCTTTTCTCACGAGCATGTAAAACACTTTGAAAAACAAAATTAAAAAATAAAAAGAAATTAAGAAACAAATTGTCTCCAATACCAACGTTTTACACATAAATACTTTGATACCTTCCTACATTTTACTTTATCAGTCTACTATTTTATATTTTAGTTATTTATTTAAAACTCGAGACGACTCATTTAACTCGTTCGAAAGATCCATTCTTCTTCGACCAGATCCTTTTTCTCTTCATTACCTTAGCCGTCTCTTCACATATTCGCTGAGTTGTGAATCGTTGGGGGGGGGATATGGCCATATGTGATGCGGTGATTGGGAATTTGATGATGATATACGTGGCGGTGATAGCGGGGATAAAAGCTTATGGTTTAGTGTGCGGGCGGAGCTTCGGTAGTGGGTTTGTGCTGATAGCGTCGAGCACGGTGGTGGGTTTGATATTCGTCGGGGCTCTGACGTGGGACATCAGTCGTAAAGCCACGAAAGTTATTTCTGGCGGTGATGATGAAGATGGCGCCTCCGTTGAAGTTCAGGAGATGTGTAAGGGTGGCATATGCTGGCACGGCGTGGCTGTTCGGTCCCCCGCTTCTCAGGTCCTGTTTAGGCTCCCTCATCAAATTCCACAAGGCCCTTCGTAAACAAGCATGAGGTGTTTATTGTTTATGTTTGTTTGAGAGTGATAAAGGAGGTTAATGTGTGGGGTGAGAGAAACTATAGGAACTGGGTTGCCATTATTAAGATTTTTCTGGAAAACAAGGAACACCAACAATACTTCACAAGACTTTATGTTTATCCTACCAACCAAAACAGTTAAGAATATTTACTCATGCGTATTTATTTATTTTGTTAGTATATTATTTATTTGGTCTTTTAATTATTCTTATATTTTTTATTTTAAAAATTATACTACTTAATATTATGTTTTATTTTTACACTTCATTTTTAAATTGTCACACCTATTTTTGATGTACACATATCATGTTAATATCTTCCTTCATGTCATGTGTGATCATCTAATTAATTGTAAATAATATAATAAAATATAGTTTTTATATTTAATTTTTTATATTTTATTGACATGATAACTTGTCACGTCATTATTCTAGTTCATGTGGACATGCAACGTCAATATCTTTGTCCATATAGATCTACTAAGTTAATAAGATGAGTTGATCGTTAGTTGACCAACGATTTTTATCAAATGAAAAATCTTTTGATTTAAAATGAAACGTTGAAGAAATAATATATTGAGAAAATAAGATCTAAAATAATTATTTTATCAAACGTTAATATTAATTTTTATACCTTTTTAATTATTATAAAAAAGTTTTATGCAGATCACCTTACATTTGGAAAATGTTATCACGGTTCACTTTTGATTAAAAAAAAAGGTTATCATACTCCACTTCAGAATGTCTCTTAAAATCGGTTGCACTCATTAGGCGACCACAAACAAGAATGTTTTGATTTTCCAAGACTGAATATAGATAGGTTCACTTTCTAGACGTAAAGTGTTGCTATATGGTATTGATTTTAAAATACCATAAAGTGTTTCGAGTGGTGGAAGCTGCGATGTTAAGAGATAGCTCATTGCATATGTGTGTGGGCCTCAAACTTAGCCCAAGTTTGTTGGATCCTATTTTATGTCCCAAAACCTATATTTAAAATGAAATTATAATATTTAAACACGTTTGATATTTTATACACAGGATTAAAACAAACAAGCATATTGAACTTTTGTCCAATTAAAAACTGAGCTCAACAGATTTAGGTGCTGTATGTTTTTGCAGAGGTAAAATGTATGCAGTCTGTGGATCACATCTGCAAGCATCTGCAGCAGAAGATGTTGACCAAAAGTCTGCAGTCTGCAAGAAGAAGACTGTTTGTTTTTTAACGTCTGCAAACTGCTAAAATAAACTGAAATATAAATAAGCTGATTTTTTAAAATTAAAAGAGTTTTGCAGTACTGAGATTTAAATAATTTTAGTTTTACAATATTGAAATTTAAATAATTCATACAACTACAATAACTTTTTTTTTTTAGAAAAACAAACATCACCTTATTAATTCTATTATAAGTCTCACATAATCACATGTATGATTAGTTTTATAAGTTTTATAGAATAAAATTTATAAATGATCATTAAATTATATGATTTTTTTAAATATGCAATTATGTAATACTTTTAATTTTTTTAAAATATATATTCATAATTTATTTTTATAATTATATGATATTTTTAGAAAATATTTTTTAATTTATCAAATTATTTTATGATTATTTTTCATTTAATTGTGATTATATTTTAAAATTTTAAAAACATAATTTATAATTTTTTATATTTTAAAATCTTAATTATCAAACAATGAAATCATTTTTTATTAACTAATGTAATTTAAATTCTTACATTTTGTATAAAAAGTTTAAATATAATTTTAAAATAACAAATCCAAAAAAGTATTATATTTAAACTTAAATCAAAATAATTAAAATAAATATAAAATTTTAATAATATATAAAATAATTTATATGATATAAAATTAAATATCTATAATATAATATTAAAAAATTAATATTTAATTTATTTAAAAAATTAATATTAAAATTAAAATCAAATATAATATAAAATTAAATATAAAACCTCTTTGAAGAGGTTAGAATAAGTCTACAGACATAAAAGCCACGTCTGCGACGCTTAGACATTAAAAAAATTTATATCTTCTAAAAAACAAACGGTCTGCAAAATCCAATGTCTGCACATCATCTACGAGGAGTATATATAAGAATTTTACAAACCTTATACAGTAAAAATAAAGACTCCATCGTCCATCCTCAACCGAGTTGTTAACTACCATCACCCACTACTTTTCTTTGATAATTATTTGTTTTATTTATATTATTTACTTTAAAACTTTATTTATATTCACTCATAAAAAATTATATTATTATATATGTATATACATCCTAAAAGAACTGCTTAAACCTATAAAATTAATAAAAATGCTATTATTTCCGATGACAAAACTGACAGTTTGTACGATCTATGATTCTTCTTCCCCCGCTCCTCTTGTAACGTCCCCGTTGAGTGAATTTCTCTCTCTTTCTGACTCCGATAGTTGTGTGACTTGCTGTCACAAAATCTGCATCTGACACTAATTTTCTTTAATATTCTCTTTCTGACACCGTATGATCAATATTTCTTGAAGTAGCATCCTTTCAGCTGAGTTGATAAAGGCGCGTCCCCGGGGACGCACTTTACCCGTGTTTTCGCTGAATTGGATGCCACGTGTGGAAGGCGCATCCCCGGAGACACGCCTTTCGCCAGCTCGACTGCCACGTATTTTGTTTAATAATAAATATTTTATTTTTATTATTATTATAAATTAATAATATATTATGTAAAATATTTCGATTATAATATAAGAATTATCAAATGTATTTTGTTAATGTGTGTTAAAAGTGGAGTGAATTATCTACATTAATATGATATAACAATATATGAAAATCAGTTTTGACTTTATTGTAGTTATAGGAAAAATGTATGAAATTATAATATTACACATATGGTTATATTATTATTTTTGATTTTGATTATCGATCTATTAATTGTATCAGTTAATTATTTAAATGTTATCAATCTAGTCATCTCATATCAATATTTAACGAAAATATTGATGCATAAGTTAATAAATTAGTATAATTACATATTTAATCTTCAAGATTTACATATTTTATAAAATTAGTCTTATTGAAAATTTAATTTAATAAATTTAATCATCCAATCAGAACATGAAATGTGTCATCGTATACATAAATTTTTTAATAACTTTTAATTTGTTTAATTTAGTATTTTTCTCTACTTAGAAGGTGGAATTATTATTATATTTAAAAAAAAATTATAACTAATAATATTAATTATTATATTAAATAAATATATTAAATATATTCTTATAATTCGTCGCCCGACACATTTCTCTAAAGAGAAATGCCAAAACTGCAACGTCCCAACTATATCTTCCAGCTTCATCAAAATCGATCAGATGCCGCAACCACATACAATGCACCTGGTTGCGAGATTTTTCGGGCATCAATATTCCTCCAATTATTCGTAGAATATATGTCCGAGCACATGCCTTTGCTTGATCCTCTGAAGCATTTTCATTTAAAACCTCAAAATTAACTTTCAACCAAGATAAAGCTATTCTACCTCCATTAAACTCTGGTGGAGTAGCTCCAAGATAATCAATGCACATTGATTGCCAATCACCATCCGCCATACTACACATCATATTTCCGTCGACGGGAAGCCCCAGATGCATAGAGACATCATCCAATGTAATTGTCGCCTCTCCACATGGAAGGTGAAAAGTGTGTGTCTCGGGCCTCCACCTCTCAATCAGTGCAGAAATTAGGACAGGTTCGAGTTTGCAACAGCCTATAATTGTTGCAATATACCCGAACCCGGCAGAAGTCAAATATGACAAAATACGTTCCGGTGTCGGTATACGTGGATTTTTAATAAAAGTCTCTAAAATACGATCAGTATCCTAAATAATATACATTATAAAAAATAAAAATTAATATAAATTCATAATAACTTTAAAATAAAAATAAATTTAAATATTAACATTAATTATAAAAAATATTATCATATCGCCAAAATGTCTAAAGATATGATCAATATCCAATCGCAACAGCATTTCGTTTTCCATTATAACTGTAGACAAAATAATATAATTAGCAAAAAAAATTAATAATTTTAAATAAATAATAATTATATAAATATTATTTTAATAAAAAATAATATTTACATAAATAATATTTTAATAAAAAAATAATATTTACATAAATATATTAATATAAAAAATAAGAACTATTTAAAAAAATACTAACATAAAAATAAATTTCTTACCACTAATAACAAATTTAAAACTCAAATAGTTGGAGAATTTGAGTTATATAAGAGAGGAGAATATGATTTTGGTGTGAAGAATGAGGGAGGGTGATGGGGTTTATATAGGGGAGGAGGAGGGGTAGTTAGGAAAAACGGATGGGGGCATTTATGGCATTTAATGGAAGGCGCGTCCCTGGGGATGCGCTTTCCACACGTGGCAGTCGAGTCAGTGAAGGCGCGTCCCCGGGGATGCGCCTTCCACACGTGGCATCCAACTCAGCGAAAACACGGGTAAAACGCGTCCCCGGGGACGCACCTTTGCCAACTCAGCAGAAAATGTACTACTTCGAGAAATATTGGTCAAACGGTATCAAAAAGGAAATATTAAAAAAAAATTGATGTCAGTTATGTCAAATAGCCAAATCTGCATGTGTACGTCGTCGTTTACCGCCACTTTTATAGCTCTCTCATTAATGCTTTTCATTTTAGCTTTTCGTTTTGGGATTTTACATAAGAACAGAGAGAGTCCTAAGCATTCTCTAACTCTCTTTGTCCTTATTTAGTTCCTTGAGCACGTCTTGTTGTAAAACAATAATGGTGCGTTTGGTTCACGAAATGTAAGATTATCAGTAGGAATAAAAAATTATCACGGAATAGGATTACTAGGAATGTTGTATTTTGTGTTTGATTGGTTTAGCAGGAATGTAAAATTATCGCGTTTGGTTAAAGGAATAAAAGATTAT